CATACTTCCGAACGCCATGGTTAGGAAGGTAACGTAAGTCTGTTTGTTTAATAGCATTAGATAATGGTAAGGAAACTTTTATCATGTCGGCTTTTAACTTACTTGATAATACGAACTTCGGTGAGGGTGAAGTTTCGGTACTCTGGCCGATATTATAATGTCTGATTCAGTAGCTGAGTAGTTTTTCTCACTTTTCAGAGCTTAATTTCAGCTAGAATAGATCACAACCAACCTTCGACGATTTTATGAGTGAAATCGCGATTCCCACAAAGAACTGGAGCTCTTACTCTACCAGTACTACCTTTTCTTTTAATTGAAAATGAATTTGCAATAAAACATTACATTTTTGCTTCCTGTATATCTCTTTTCGATCTGTTGAAAGAAAAGGCATTGACGTGTAAGAATTCAAAAATCAAAGACTTCCCGAAATATTTTAGAATTTAATATATGTGAACACCATAATGTCGTACTGTTGAAGAATAATTCTAATTAAAAATTACCGTATTATACATAGTGTATAAATTCAAGGTAAGTCGCAAAAAAATCATCCTCTTGCAAATTCACAGAGACTGAATAGTGTAATCACCAGAGTAACCTCGGAGACGGGCCCAAACTCTGTCGAAACTAATTTAAAAATTTTTCTCAGGTCCAAATGATTTTGGTGTAAAATACAAAACTTCAAAGTTAGTTCAGTACTATGAGGATACACTAGCATGATTCTTGAAGAAGGAGAATGAGAGAGGGAGGGAAAGAGAGACGTGAGAGTATCATTCATTCCCCTTAAATAAGTTGAAGAAAAGTCTACTCGGCCGCCTAACGCCATTAAGAGCGTCATTTAATGCAAAGTAATTTTTCTTCTTATTATTTTTTTAAGTTACGTTAATAAACACTGACATGGACATTTTAATTTATTTACATCCTAACCTAGCTATGATACTAATCTTCACCTACTGCATTGTGAAATACACTCATATCCATAAATTAAGAATAATTCGGAGTCACACGGAAATCGAACTCTAAAATAAATATATCACCTGTAAAATCACTACACACATCTTCAAGAATCATATGCAAATTTCAGGAAGTAACCAGATGACACCGATGGTACGTCACAATGACGAGAGTATAAGAGAGTAATATATAAGAAATACAGGCAAAGAAGTAAAATTGTTCGCAGGCGCTTTATAAGCATTTCAGTGCAATAAGCGAATAGTTATGACACAATGGACGCATTTGGATGATTGTTTTACGTGGTAGAATAATCGGCCGTCTGGAATGTGGGCGTACCCAACTAGAAGTATCAGACGAATTTGGAATTGCCCAGAGTGTCATCTCCAGGCTTTGGCAACGATTTCAAGATGATGGTAATGTGAGTAGACGTTACAGCACAGGTCGCCCCAGAGTTACAAAGCCGAATGAGGACCGGTGTTTGGCAGTTACTGCCAAAAGAAACAGGCGAAGCACAGCCTCAGACCTGTCTCATCAGCTCTCTTCAGCCACTGGTACGACAATTTCAAGGCAGACCGTGTACAGACGCTTAGGGCAGATTGGTCTATATGCTCGTAGACCTGTCAGATGCGTTCCACTTACTGCAACTCACTGTCGCCTGCGGTTAGCCTGGAGTAGAGAGCATGCATTGTGGACACCGCAACAGTGGGCTTGTGTTATGTTTCCCGACGAGTTCAGGTTTAGCTTGCAGTCTGATTCTCGCCGGACTTTCATATGGAGAGCTCCAGGTACCCGTTACCACCAAGAAAACATCATTGATCGACAACGTTACGGTGGTGCAGGAGTGCTCGTTTGGGGTGATATTATTCAGGGTTCCAGAACTGACCTGCATGTTCAAATTGGAACCATGACAAGCCAAATCCATCCGGACGTCATTCTGGAACAACATGTGCGTTTGTTTCGGGGCGCCATGGGCGCACAATTTGTGTTCATGGATGACAACGCCCGTCCTCACCGTGCAAACATCGTAAGCAAATGCCTTCAATCGGAGGATATCACTCGTAGGGACTGGCCAGCATTCTCACCGGACTTGAATCCAGTACAGCACGTGTGGGACATGCTTGGCCGACGAGTTGCAGCCCGTCAACCTCCTCCTACATGTCTACCGGAACTTCGGAGAGCATTGCTTTTTGAGTGGTGTAAGATCCCCCAAGAACAGATCGATAATTTGATACTCAGCATGCCTAGGCGTTGTACGGACTATATTGCATTGTCTGAGAGACATACAATGTATTAACAATCATACCAACCATGTAATATTGATTTTTTGTAAATAGGTTTTTTTATGTAATTTGCTCCAGGGAGAAAAAATCGCTAACTTTTTAATAATATTACACATATAGCATCTTTTTTTGCTCTTTACTTTTTGTTTAATAAATAAGCTTTACAAATAAGTCAAATTTTTTTGCTTCTAACACTTCCTTTGCCTGATTTTTTGTTATCCTTAATTTATGGACATGAGTGTATATTATGGAACACCAGTATATGTCAAAAGTATTTCCCTGAAATTTATTAATATAATCTACCTCATTTTACCAATAAACAACAAAATGGGCTTCGCTGTGTTTGGAAAGTTTACCAAGATAAATAATACAGTATTAAGTTAAATCTACAACTCATGAAGATAAATAAAAACTAAGTAATATCTTAAAACTTCTCTGCAATATATAGCGACTGTATTACTAAACATAACTTTCGAAAGAGAAGCTCAGTATATAGATAGTACTTAGCATTCAAAGCGCTGCGAAAGGAGTGGTGAATTCAAAACAAATTTATCGCTCCGGGTACGACAGTAAATTTAAGTAAACTTACCTCCCCAAGTGTGATTCGTAAATCATACTTCTCCTGGCTTGACTAGTAAATTATAACAAACCTACCACTCCAGATGTGACAGTAAATTTAAATAAACTTGCCTCTCCAGGTGTCACTGGTAAATCAAAACAAACTTACTTCTCCACCAAACTTTAAAGCAAACTTACGGCTTCCAGATGGGACTAGTAAATTAAAGCGAACTTACCGCTCCGAGCGTAGTGTCAACTTTGAGCTTTTGCTACTAGCTAACTCAGCTGAAAAAAATAGCGCATATTACGAGATTTCACAGTTTGGCACTCCTAAGCTGTTTTTTAGTTATACAGTTATATTTCGAAGCCCACTGCATGCTATTAGCTTCTAATTGGTGACATATGGTCTCTTCATCCGCAGTAGATATAAATTAAAACGTTCTCATATTTCATGTTCCTGTTACAAATTAAAGATTAACAAAATTTTCATAATTTCTGTTCAGATTTTACTTGGAAAAAAAATGTCTGCTGAACTGAAAAAAACTGCTTTGTTAAATTGAAATCTTTTATAAATAATAATCACAGCGAATATGTTTTTATTTACTTTTTAAACTTCAGGATTTTAGTTAGAATATATCTCGAAAGACAGGGACAAATACGAATCTAAAGTTTTTTAAGCAATTTATCATTGACTTTTTTGGTTTAAACTGCTAACGTAATTCGAGAGGAACTCCTTTATTTAGATCAAATTCTATACTTTTAATGAACCTGTATGTAACTTAGGCCAGCAATATTTATTGCTTTTCCTTGTTATAAGTGAAACACCTTGCCGTCCCCCTTTATATGTTACAAAAGTAAAAATGATTAATACACATGTAATATTCTAGAAAAGTACGAGTATATCTAATAAAATAGAATTGAAAGAATTTCTTAAAAGCTTTGCCGTTATTTTTCAACCTAAATCTCATTTTTAAACCCTTTTGTTTTATTTCAATTTTTCAGAATGATTTTGAGTACTTACGCATTATCTCGTCGACCGTGAAATTGTCACCAAGTAGCGCGATTTAACTCCAATTAGGGATAAGCAGCATGATGTTATAAGACACTCACATTTCTTTTAATGTAACTCCAACTGAATCTTGATAAGCCACATTTTTTACCTGCGGGAAGTTTGCATTCATAGCGTTCTAAACAGAGCATCCAGTTAAACCGGACAGCCTAAGAAAATAGTAGAAATCGGCAAAAGGATTTTTACGCAGTGTGAAAACGAAGTGGCTATAATAGTGGTTGTTTGTTGGATTCTGCAGTAGGTGACAAATGCTTTATTGGAAGAGTTGCAGATAGAAGTGCAGTTCAGAATTCCTCAAGCAGGACTGCCGTAACTTAGACAAGATCTCCGCCAAATTTTATGTTCCGATGGTTGCCAAATTTCAAGTTCGACGGGATAACACGTAAGCACCTGATTTTACTTTACTCTCATTTTTATTACTTAAGATCACACCCGTTTTCATCGAAATTTAGGTTCTCATAAGAAAACGCAGAGCCAGAGGCGTGCAGTTTGACTTCCGCGGCACCACTTATGAAGTCAAAGCCAAGAGAGAAGTGATACTGTCAGCGGGGACCACAAATACTGCACAACTGCTAATGCTGTCAGGTATCGGCCCCAGAAAGGAACTCGACAGATTCAAGGTAGAGAGATTAGATTAAGCGATATAACTATAAATATTTAATAGTTTCCCAATTATTATCAGGAGAAATTCGGAAAATGTATGAGAGTATTCGAACAACTGAAGAGAGAAAGAACTGTTTCACTCTCAGTACCATGTTTAACAAAATAATTACTTAATTTAAAATAATAAAATTTACTTAAATCCTTATTAATTTAAAAAGTAAAAGATTTTTAAGTATCTGAAAAGGCTGTGTTTTCAATTATAATTAAATATTTTAAATAAATTCTTGTATTATCTTGCGTATAAGCTTGTATTTTCAATGCAGTTTCTTCATGAAAACAGTTTGCAGTATTTCTAATAGGCCAATAAGTTTTTAGAAAAGTACTATTGGGCACTGTCTTCCTATTTATTAGTACACTATATATGATTGCCCTCCAGACAACTGCAGCTCTGCGGTGAGAAATTAACGTAATGTGAACATTCAGCCTAGTGACTAACACAAAGTTAACTAACAAGTTGGAAAGTTATCGGTTTCTACTTAATTGTCAACACAAAGCAGAGATCAAATTAAATTCAACATAAGCCTCATTCAGCCACTTCTGGTAGCTTACAATTGAAAATTTAACACAAGTTAAAAACGATTACTTGTCGTAATGAAAGAAGTACAGAGATGAGACTACTTTGCCGATACACGTCAAGGTTCTAATATAAATCTAAAATACCTGGTTTTTCTATGCAGCTAAACCTTCAAATAACTTAACAACAACAAAGTTACTTTTCTAACTTTTGGCCTCATCGTATTCAGCCATAACTAGTACTGTGTGAGACAGCAGCAATGCAGCACTTTCCAGTAGAGCACGATTAACATTAAATTAACACTTAATTTAACACAACAATTAACTTCAAACTATGTCTCATACCGCTAAATCTGCATATTTTTCTGGTCTGAGTGAATATTGTGACATGAGAAAAAAAAAAAAAAAAAAAAAAAAAAAAAAAAAAAAAAAAACAGGACAGGGTTTAACTCAAATCTGAGTGTTAGTCAAATTTAAGAATAATTCTCCCAAACAAATGTATTATTTTCAGGATAATATCGAGTGGATTATTTTTTTAAGGAAAGGCACAAGTAAGCCGTCTACGTTTCTTTTCCCAAGAGCATCCCGGGGCTTAAATTCGAAAGATTTTTACTCTCAATCATCAAAATACTGAGAAAGATGAGTGTCAAATCTCAGAAACGTTATTATGACCTGCTAATAAGGTGTTCATATGAGTATCATAAAAATTTATTGAAGAAATTGAGTTGTTATTCGAAAAATTTCATTGCATTAAATCTTATGAAGAATCCTTACCTTTTAACATGGATGTAAGTAAAGTTCATAATTTTTATATTTATATATGCTTTCAGATTTATTAAGTTCAGGAAAAATAATTAATTTTTGGTAGTAATATAATTTTACCACAGAAATCAGATCTTCTCTGTCACATTAAAGTTATGCTCTTTCAAAAGAAAAATTATTCTAATTGAATAACTGAAAATTTTCAATAAAAATTTATGTAATAGCTGAATTACTTAAATAATTGTTACCGCGAATGAACTTAAACAAATTAAATCGTTATCTCTGAAGGCGGGAAAAGTACACTGCTGGCCACCCAAATTGCAACACCAAGAAAGACAAGAGATATTACAACAAAATTTATTTAGTAGATAACATGTTGACCAAGTATCAAATGATTAAATTTATAGACTTCAGTGAAGTGTGGTTCCTTCCAGAATCAGTAGCCAGAGTAGCCGCCCCATTGTTGGAGATCACCGCTGCCACACGCCTCGGCATTGATTCAAAGAGACTTTGAATGTGTTCTTGTACAGCAGATTGAGCAGCTTCCACACGTTGCCAAAGTTGATCTAGTGTGGCATCTTGGGATGTAATCTGGCCCAATCGTTCAGCAACCATGGACCACGTTTTCTATCGGCGAAAGATCCGGAGAGCGAGCCGGCCAGGGAAGGAATTCAATCTGGCGGTTGATGAAGAACTCTTGGACAATGCGTGCCACTTGTGGTCGCACATTATCCTATTGAAATATGGCTGTGGGCAAGCTCTGAAGGTAAGGAAGGACAACTGGCTCCAACAACTCGGAGATGTAGTGCTAGCTGTTTAAAGTACCGGCAATGCGTATTAGAGGAGTGAGAGTGATATCCAATACCGCCCCATACCATAATAGCCGGTGCAGGCCCACTGTGGTGGTGCATAACACAGCTGTTCAGCATCCTCTCTGCACGATGCTTTCAGACTCGAATCCGACCATCGTGATGTTGCAGACAGAAGCGTGACTCGTCAGTAAAGAAAATTTCCTTCCAGTCTGCCGTCCACATCCTTCTTTCATCGCACCATTGGCAGCGGAGACGTCTGTGGTTCTGCGTCAAGGGTAGACGAAGCAATGGACGTCTTGCGGACAGACCACTCTGCTGTAAACGGCGTCGAATGGTACGCGCGGACACTGGATGATGCGTTACAGACTGAATGTGCTGTACTATGATTCGTGATGTGACTGAGCGATCCGTCACTGCCATGCGCGCAATGTTCCTGTCATCACGTGAAGTGGTGCACTGAGGTGGATGCGATCGAACTCGTCGGTCCGTCGTACCCTCCTGCATCCAACAGTCACATATCCGCATTACAGTTGTTTGGTTTCGTCCAACACGACTACCGATTCCCCTGAAAGATAATCCACACTCTCGGTAGGCCGCCATCCTTCCTCTGTCGAACTTGGATACTGGATCATACGATGATCGCTGTTTACTACGAGGCATAGTTGATCGTGTTTTTGAAAAGACCACAAGAAAAACACAATTACCGAACTTGAAATCGTCGAAAACTCCAAGCCTTAAATAGCGCTTTGAAGTGGCGCCACAGGCGCGCGTAATGTGCGTCTTCGCTGAAATTCTAATCATTTGCATATCTCACCTCCACTAATGCATGTTGTAAATTTCATGTTATTTGCATGCATCCTTTAGGGTGTGGCATTTACAGTGGCCAGCAGTGTAGTTACTTCCGAGAATAACTAGGCCATTACTAAAAAGGCTTATATGAACTGTAGCAACTTGTATTGCGATATTTTATTTGAATTTAACTAACAGATAAAAGTTTATTTTACACCTTTCCTTACGCCTCATTCCGTCGCTACTCCTTCAGTCCCCGGGTTTATACAGATTTTGTTGGAAAGCGGCAGTTTAAATCGCATGATTTGTAGTACAGAAATACTTCGCTATTGCTTCAGCAGCCGATCTTGCCTTGCATCAGAAGCTGTTGTTCGAGTAATAATATTGCCGTGCATTAAACAGAGTTAGGAAGTATATTTTAATTTAAAGAAAGTTGTTCAAACTAAATACTTTTGTAGCCTTGAATAGGAACGCTGGTATTATAGCCAGTTTAATTTTTTCCCACATAGTTATTAAAGTAGAGATTTTGTTTGCATTATTTGAATTTAAAGTCACAAGTACTGAAGAAAATTACGTTACTATTTTGCAATTCTTATGTGTTCGTTAGTTTCTCAGTTAGTTTAAGCTAAAGAAGATACCTCACACCCCCTGAAATGTAAAGTTTGAGGAGTTTGTGTTTGAGACAGTTATTTTGTTAGTTAGAAAGGCCTTTCAAACATCATAATATTATGTACATCAGTAAAACGTAAATTAGTAAATTTTACACTTTTTTTTTTTTTTTTTACAAAAATTGTAACACCGTGTCAATTTGCATAATTTTAAGTTAGATATTTAATTATGTTAGTGCAGCAAAATAAATTTTGTTCTGCAAATAATAGTCCATTTATGTGCATAGAGTCAAGTTACAGTTATAATTTAAAATGGCAGTAATTTATAAAAGTGGCTTTCAGATTCCTGTCAAAGCTGACCTTCCAGTAGGCAAAAATTTGCAAGATCATATTGGAGTGGATGTAAATTTTCTTCTGAACTCTGCCATCCCTGAAATCAGAGCCAAACTTCTCAACCCTGTGAATATACATAAATATATCCAAAACAGAACAGGTAATTGATTTTTCTGTTAAATGATATTCTTCACTTCATAGTAAAACAGAAAAAATCAAGCCAGTTTTATTCTTATTAAATATTGCTTTTTAATTTTTATTCTGCTTCCAAAGGGTAATTTGCTTAAATATCTGAACATGGAAGTTATAAAATTCTCGGATTTCTTTTTTTGGTATGCATGAAACAATTTCAAACATACATCAAAACATTTCAGCTTGAATGAACAGACATTTGATTAATAAATTAAGGGATGAGTAGCAACACTATAAGGGTTTTGGCCTAAATTCCAATTTAAGTTAAATAATTTTAAAATATATTGCATTAAACTTAAAATACATGATAAAGATGGTTTAGCTTCAGTGGAATTAATAAAAACTCAATAGTAAAGTCTAAAAACCAAAGCAGACATAACTAAGCGATATAATTTACACAAATCCTTTGTTTCTTAATTAAAAAATTTAATAAAACTTATACTATCGATTCAAAATTATCTGAAGTATTTTCTCGTGGTTAGGCTATCCAAATAAGGGCATGTTCCTTCGCAGTAAATAGAAGATACCTAATCTGTATTTCCTTTTAACCAGATTTACTTTTGCTTGATATAAAACAAATTCTTCCCCAAAGCGGGAATTGTGTAAACACAAAGGTAATGACAAATTTAAAATAAAAATCATAAACTTAATTTAAATACTGTTAATAACCCTAAAAACAAAGGAATAATAAAATAAAAGCACTTCATAACTGAGAACATAAATACTAACTCTTACTACCTAAGATTCTGGCACTAAGACTACGATCGTCTCGCACTCAGTTGTGTTGCTTTCCTGGACTGAAGTTCTAACCACTAAATACCAGATATCTATCTCAGTGTGTAAGAATAACCTATCAGAGAAGATTAATGATCCTATGTTCAAATCCCAGTAAAATCCTAGGATTTTACTATGATGCCGTACTAAAGACAGAAACTTTGGAAAGGCACGAAGTACTTCCACAGTCGCTGTACTTGGCATTTTGCCTTAAAGAAAAGGGGAAATGTAAAGAGCATTCTCTTGCCACAATCAGTCGCGTAACTAGAACTCTTGAACCACTATGCAAAAAATTTTCTTGGGTCCCTCCCCCCAATAAATTTAATGTGCATAAAAATAAAAATTAAAAGTTAAAAAAAGTGTAAAGTTAAAAAGAATCAAGGATTCCACGAGCCAGTGTTTTCATGATGATTTTTATCACATCTGGATTATTCGTTAAAAAGTAAAAGCATATCCTTAGGGAACAAGTTGAAAGGTACGTAACATGAAGAAAGAATGAAAAGGAAACTATTTTTCCTTGACCAACTGTAAAATTTGCTTCAGTCTAGGTATTCGACCTCAGATGGTTTTAATCAGTCATTTTAGACCTTTTCGTGTGCATGCGAGAGACAGATTTTTCTCTCCTTTCCCTGAAATACATACTGATAATAAATGAATAATTCTATATAAAAAAGGAACATGTCAGTAAAGTATAGCATTAAGAAAAGTAAGAAAGGCTAGATTTGCGGAGATTTTTATATAAAATCCAAGAGGTTTTACGTACAAATATGTTTAGGATTTTTAGATAAAATCCTCACCAATCCAAGTTTTTTTCCCGCTTAATTTAGCAAACTTAAATAACTTGTTATATTATAAACTAACTCAAGACAAAGACACAGGACATAGTTAAGACACAAGACAAACATCATTTAATGAAAATAGGTTTTTTTTAACCCCAGGTGGATCAAAAAGCAAAAATCACGATATATTTTAGGAGCATTAATAGTTTTGATTATTGTTATCTTTTTTATTTACATCTTAAAATTACTCTTTCTGTTTCAGAAATTAATGACCTCAGATTTCCAGTTTTCACATTGCTTATAAATTAAGCTGTATAATTTTTTATCTTAAACGATAATTTATTAATGACAAAAATATGAAAAATAGATATAATTATGGGAAGATATATTAACGGAACCTATTTATCTATTAGAAAAGCTACGCAGTGGTGCCAAAATGAAAGAGAATAATGCTAAAAGAGATTTTATGAGTGAAAATCGCATCATTTATTGCTAGAACGTTTTAACTAAATTTTTAATTGGAAAAATTATTGAAATATTGCAATAAAGGGGGAGAATTCTTTTCTGAAATATTCCATTCGTCTGTGTAGTGAAAATTGCAATGTAATTCGTGTTCTTTCAGATGTTGAAATGCAATTTAAAACTATTAGGTCAACGCTGCCATTGATATGCTTAATATTTTCAGTAATTAATTTATCGAAATTTATATACTTTTAGTTGTATGATGTCATTTTTATTATCATTATTATATTATTATTAATGATTTCACGTACTGAATGCCGTGGAAAGTAAAAGTAGAATAAAAATTAAAATAAATTAAAAGCAAAAGTGTAAATTTTCAAGTTTCATTTCAAATAACGATTAGAAAGTACTCCACGAAGACGTTCTTCCCCTTAGGCAAATATTCCTCGAGTGCTTTATTATTATATAGTAATTCAATTCAGTTCCGTTTAAATAGTATACAAATTATTGCGCATTAATGAATTCTACGATTAAATGTTTCACGTTGTTAAAATGAATTGTAATTTATTGTATTTTTTCAAACGAAGGAAATTAAAATAATTTCTTTCAAACAAATTTAATATCTTCAGAATTATCTTTTACGGATTATTAGTGTGAATTTTTGGTAGATGGGTAATTTACAGGCTAAGAAACACCACAGCTATTCTCTTTCCTAAAGCAATCATGTAATCTTCAAGCATTAAAATATGCTTAGTAAATAAGCTATTCGAGTTCTATGCCTTCAGATTAATTAGTTTAGGAATTAAGAATTCTTAATGTTTATCTGCAATGTGAGAATATTTGAAAACTTTGATATGAAAAATTGGATAATATTGATTACCGATTATTTCAAGTAAAAATATTCATCCATTCCATTTCCTTCCCCATGAGTGAAGAAGAAGAAGTCACGAATTTCGATAATTTAATGAAAAAAAATTACTGGAATATTGCCGCTTAATGTTTAAGCAACAGAATGAAACTTTTTGTTCTTTGCCTGCGCATAAAACTGCCCTTTTTATTTCTGACGTTGAATTCATTCAAGATCCTAAGAAACGGGGAAATTCTCTTTTCTAAATGTGGTGTCATAATTCTTTGCGTTCCTGGCGAGGACACCATTTCGCATGTGGATAGGCCTTTTATGCCACGACTTCTAACTTACGTTAAGATTTTGTCCTTAAAAAAGGCATAAATTCTGGAGTAGCAATTGATACTTCGAATGATTCCCCCTCCAGATTATTAGTCTAAAAAAGAAAAAAATCATTCGCTTTTAACTTTGCCATTTGGGAAGTTCCCTACTTCTAAATCCAAAAATTTCCCGTCCCTATACCCTGCCATCTGGAGCGACTGCACCGTCGTTTTTTACATTGTGAGAACCCTACATTCAAACATTGTTTTGTCACAGTGCGAGAAACATACATACATTTATTCAAATTCTTCCTTATTTAATTTCTTTAAAAATAATACAGGGTGAAATTATTTGGTGGCAACAATTTAAAAGTGATACGCCGTTTATAGTGAACCAATGCAATACATGTTATATTAAACTGTAAAAACCATTCTCATTGATAAATTCAATTTCAAGCTTAATATTAGTCCTGATTTTTGGACTTGGGTTCAATGGAAGTGCTAGTAACAGATTCAATATATGAACAATATTAAACACTTCGGAATGACATATGAAAATTTGGAAATGCAAATAATATACCACATCTCCTCTTAACTTGCAAAGCTCATTCGAAATTAAGTACCAGACTCCTGCCTAGTTACTTCTTTATTTATACTTAAAAAATGTGTCTATTAATTATTCGATCATAATAAAGAATTATATAGAAATAAATTAATATACAAAATAATTACATTATAATAAATAATTAGAATTAATTTCCACTTCCACTCCCTTGTGAGTTGGGATTGCAAAGGGAGAAACCCTTTCTTCGGGGGGTCGCTTTTAATAAATTTCAGGTAAGAGACTAAGAAATACAAAGGAACTTTTCTTATTTTCTGCTGACTCCTATGCCTGAACTGGGGTAGGTCACGAAGTTACTATTTCATAGTCGAATAATGGAATATTAACTTTTGCAATCACTGAATTTAACTGTTTCATGTGCTTCCAAGGGCCCCTTTTTCTGCGTTATATACGGAACTGCGTAACGGCACCATATAGGAAGAGGGCTCTTAAAAAATTAAAAAAAGACGAATTCTATTATATATATTGCAGCAATTACGGAAGTAGTAGAATAACTCGATTTCGCACTAAGTGAATTTAAGATCATACAACATTATATATATACTTAAAGATTCTAAAGTTAAAAGTAAATTGGCGTCAAAGCAAGGTTATCCTCGCTATATAATATTAGTAATCATGTAAAAGCGGTTTAACACAAATCCAAACATATCAATTAAATAAGAATTATAGAAGTACAACTCTAAAAATAAAACTGAAAAGCGAAGGGGAAAAAAATCAAGATAAAATATCAAAATTAAATTAATCTTCTTTTACTGAAACTCCATTTCGAACTTATCAGGGAAAGAATTAAAGCTTCTATATATATGTAATAGAATCCGTCTTTTAAGTTTAAACGTGTAACTGTAGTTCAGCAGGTCATTTAAGGGCCTCCTAAGCCCTCGGGCCCCTATACGACGGCATTCCTTGCATACCCTTATTTACGCCACTGGCCACAATTAAGGCTTTAGCGTCATTCGGGTCACATTTTTAAGATCTCATTTCCGAGTTTCGTTCTTAAAAAGAAAGGATTCGCAACTGGTTTAACCCGTGGCCTTCGAAAAACAAGGCCGTCCAGCTCTCTCATGACGTCAAGATGAGGAGTGCGAAGAAACCTCTCTCCTTCATTCGAAGCGAGTGAACCCACAGCGCGCTAATTCATCAGTAAAATCTAATTTTATGTTATTCTCATGTAAAGTAAATAGAATATTATTAAATAAATGGTATTATCTTAACATTTATTATATATCACGCTTTAAATTCAAATAACTTAAGACTTCAGATATCTGAGCTTATTTTTCTTAATGCTTGATAAAACTTTCACCTGGATGATCAGTAATTATTTATATTAGTCTCATTTTGTTTTCCATAGTTTGGATAAACTTTCCAATGTTAAGCTTTCGAACTGCAAACAAAACATTGCATATTATTTTTCATTCATATATAAACATGAAAAATATGAATAAAAAGAGCATTTTACAAGAACCAACATTTTCTTACAGACTTTTTTAAAAAATATATAATTTTCTTCAGTCTGGCGATAAAATAAAAGAACTAGCATTTTCTGTTATTAAATTTATTTTTTAAACAAATTTTAGTGTAGAAGATCTTTTATAATAAACTAAATATAAAAAAGGAATATTTCATCATTTATTTATCGATATAAATACATTAAAATTTATTTTTTGATGATAATTTTTAATGTCAACATTGTTTTAAATTGTCAGATGATGTTAAGTCAAATGGTGTTATGTAAATAACTCTGTTATCATTAAAGTAATTATTAAACTTACAGTGATCCAGATTCTTGCAGAATAAAAGCCAAAGATTTATTTTTAAACTGTCACAGAAAATAATTTAACTTTAGTTTTGCCGACTGTTTTTATTTAATTCTTTTTTAATTGCGATATGAATTCTTACTATTCTATGTTACTCTTTAGCGAAATCTTGATATGTCCACGTTAGAGTTATTATAAACATAATAGTTAATTTCCTAGCTTTCTAGATCGAAAGATTGTGCCTGTAACTATGCGTGAGTTTTGTTTCTTTGGATCACTTATGTGTATCCTCAAGGAATTGTAAAAGGCAAAAAATAATAATTCTCCCAAAATTTAACAGACATAACATTTTGAAAGGAACACACTGCAAAATTATGCTTTAAATTTTGAAATATGCAAGGTCGTTAGCCGAGGTTCTCACATCTCGTTACCGAAGTGCACGTGGTAGAGCGTATATCATATCAGGAAAGTGCAATGATAGTATAGGATACCGGACGTCCCTTGCAAAAGCACTTCAATTCTGCCAGTATATTTAATCTTTTTTAATTGTTTATTCTATTGTACCCATTTAAAACACCATATACTCTATAGCTCTCCAAAAATTTAGCATTTTGCTAATGTATGAAGTTTAATTTAAAAAACGTAACAGCAAAATTTTAAAAAAATTAAATTTCAAGCTTTATAAGCAACTGGTGTAACAATATTGTTTTCAAGTTTTGTTTATATATTTTTAAAAATATAATATTAATTACAATTTTCACAATAATTTTCAAAATATGACAAAAAGAAGTTTAAAAAAAGGGGTAATGAGAAACACACAAATTTGAATTTTTAAATGAAAAACATTATTACTTTTAAATCTTTAAAAACTATAATGACAAGTGCATTAAAAATAAAACTGACATAAATTAGATATTACAAATAATTTACTGCTATAGAATTAATATATTATCTTAATGCACAGCGTTTCAACAATACTTGAAGGTGGTGTATTTAGTTACAGCAAAGCACACTAGGGCTATCTGCCTAAGGGGAGGGATGCCTTCCTGGAGGACTTTCTAAGGGAAACTGACTCGTATACACGTTACACATGGGGAAAACCACGAAAACGCCCATGCAGCCAGTCCGTTTGCGGGATTCGAACCTCGGACCGAACTACCAGTGTTTAGCGACTTTACCGCTAGGCCGCTGGTGGGCCGAGCAATACTTGAAACAAAATTTACTATACATTAAATAATCCTGTATTATCCTTAATTAATTTATTGTTTACTTTTACAATTTACACTAGTTATTGCTTAATTTTTTTAATATTTTATACTAGTTTTCCAGTTGAAATCCTTTTGGCTTTAAAAACAGACATATTAAACGCATCGAATATTTAATCTACTTAAGTTTTCTTTAAATATCAATAAAATCATAGTAATGAAAGCTCACCCTGCTGTTTTCAGTCGGAATGAAATCCTTCCGTTTTATTGCACGTATCCACTTTCACATCTGCATCAACAGGAAAAGCGAGAATATGTACTTTAGGTCCAGATTTGTAATTTCAATTACATCGTGGCACTGAACACATGTAAGACATTATATTGTTTTTGGAACAACCCACAAATTGCAAAAACACTCAAATTTAATTTGTCCATCTACGGAAAAAGCACGGTATATACCAAGATTTTAGGTCAATAATTGCATTTAAACCCTTCTGTCGTAGGAATGGCGACTAACAATAACCTTGACCCAAAGCTGCCCTCAAACCCCTCAAACCCAAAGAAGGGTTGCACTCTCTCACAGCCAACACTATAATGGCCTTGAAGCGCAAAAATCACGTGATCCAGATGGTCGATGTGTTTTTGTGATAGTGTGCGATTGCGAATCCGTGGTCGTGAATTTTTTGGATATATATTATGCTAATAGTGTTATGTAAGTGGATTATTTTGCTATTCGAAGTAATTTTAAATAACTTAAGCTTTATGCAATGGTAAATAATAGTTTTATCTATATTTCGGTTTATATCTTTTTAATTTTTAGATTTGTTTGGGAAAATTTATAGCTGTTCTCAAGCCTATCCAAGTGTTCCGTTTTAGCATCGAATACTCTAGTTTGAACATTTTGCTTAATATTGTTTGGAATATTTGTTTGGTATACTACATTAGGAATTCTTTATCTTGATTACGTCTTTCTAATAACATATTTGAATACAGAATGCCTCGACACTGCAATGTATTTAGTTGCAAATCCAATTACGACAAAAACGAGAATGTCACTACTTACTCTTTACCTAAATTACCTAAAAGAGGAGCTGAATGGTTAAGGAAAATTCCGCGAGATTTAAGTAAATTAAAAAACTCCGTAATTTGTTTAAAGCATTTTGATGAATCACAGATAATTATTAGAAAGTGAGAAGAAGCTTCGTTTTAAAAGCAATATTATAATTTCATTATCAAATATTCAATACTCCGTTAACGTCTCTTTTACCAGATTACGATAAGGATTCCATCTTTACCTTTATGAATATTGGTGATTATTCAAATTTACTAATTAATGATCTTTCTATAGAAAGTGTTACTTCTGATAGAAAGTGCACTTCTGACCAGTGCCAGTTTATGTTTCAGGTTATGCTTCCATGAAAGAATTAAGAGTGGTAAAATGCAATATTTGCCAGGACTGGTTGCAAAGTATTCATTCGGTAGATATAGCAGATGATATTTTTGGTTTTCTTAAAGAATTAGATAGGGGTACCATCTGAAGTTGCTTTACTAACGTCTTCAACTGTACATTTCTTATTTGGTGAAATTCTTAAAAACATGGAAGATACATTTCTTATATCAAAAAAGCAATTGGGTATTTTATGTAAGTTATCTTGCATACAGTTAAGTCAAATTAACTTTAACTTAACAGATTCTTGCACTTGTGGAATGACTTTGCAAACCCGGTTAGAAAATATCTGTTTGATAACTTGTAAAAATTTGTTAAATAATTATACAAAATATAAAAATGACAAAATTAATATAAAATGTTCATATAAAAAAGTTAAAAAATTTACCAATTAAATTTCAGTTAATAAGTCACAACTGTTTATTTTTATGTATGCTTCTGCATAAATTGTGTATAATATGTAGGATGCGTGTATATGGTACAGCTTCAAGTTTTATGAATCTATTTTTGATAGTGAAAAAGGCCTGCAATTTGGGAATACCACTTTAAAAAGAAAAAAAAAAAAAAAAAAAAAAAGAGCCTAATCACTTACCTCTTAGGTGGTTTGGAAAAAGTGATAAAATATAAAATTGGAGCTGGCACAAATAGAAGGCTGTCCTTTTTATGAATGTAATTAGCATTTAATTTTTCGAAATTTTCTTGAAAGATTTATTTATAGCATAACATGCATGTAAGTTTATCTTCATACACAAATTTTCTAGCTTTTAAGGAATTTTTAATTCATTTCCCTGTTTTGACAAAATTGTGATATCCAAGTTTTTATTAGTGAATGAAGTGATGAGAGATGACTATGGATATTTGCCTTCTAAAAATTTATGTAGCTGATGCGATGGTAGCGGCATGGATTTTTACAAAATATTCTGCTCTTAATATTTATTTTAGTATTAAGAAAATCTAAATAAAATTTACATCCATAAATCTATTGAATTTTTCCCTTTTTGTGGATTTTATATTATCTTGGTAACAAGTTTGATTTAGTTTACATAAGTGGATTCCATTTTTATTAAAATTGCAGAAATAAAGTTTGTATGTGGTGATTCTCAATGATATTTTTAGTTACACAAACAAAATATAATTGTTTTAAAAATTATTGAAGCTATGCATTTTACCGCCTATGAATATATTATGAAAAATTTAATGCAAGTCATGCTAACTACTAACGTTTATTAATTTTACTTATATTTATTTTAAAAGAAAACTATTATTTTCGGCAAGTTAAACTTCGCGATTACATTGAAGAGAAAAAGATCGACTATTTTGATCACCTGACTTTCCGAAACTGATATCGCTTCAAAGCCATGATAGAGTCGGCCATGCACTCTCTGTACTGAAGTCACTGAGTTGTAAGGCCTTGTTCTCGAAGGCCACGTTTAACTTCATTAACTCAGCGAACATAAATAACCCGCTATCTTATAACAGAAAGATGTTTTTTTATTCACATCCCAGCCAGAGCCCAGGGCCTACACATATCATGCTGTCAAATTTAACATCTATTGTTTTATCTTGAACGAATCTATTTCATTAACAACAATCACTTTCTAATTAATGCTCTCTAAATATTTTGTGTGCTTTATTAACTTATGGTATTAAATAAATACCTATTATTTTGCGGAAATTTTTATTTTGTATCATTTCATTACGCGTCAATTAGCTTATCATTAGTTGTAAGTTAATACTAATTTCAATTTTATTCTGTGTCAGGTCCACTGGCATCTCTGGAATTTTGTTCAGCTAATGCGTTCCTGAAGAAACATGCCATAAATCCTAGGGAAGATTTTCCGAATCATGAAGTGAACTTTTTAGAAGGAACTACTTTAAATGCGTTTCTCCAGTTCGGCCTAAGACTAGAGGTAAAACAGGTTTCTTGAAATTTCTTTCATGAATCTATTTTACTTGTTTTTCAGGAAAATGAAAGCAGCGTATATAATCACAACTATAAACATGTAATAAAAAGCGTATAATCTCAAATATAAACATGTAATAAAAAGCGTATAATCACAGATATAAGCATGTAATAAAAAGCGTATAATCACAAATATAAACACGTTTCTTATCTGTTTGATGTTTGTTTTTAGTGATATCTGCGGAAATAAAATTCCGCCGATTTTTATTTTCCTAATAATAGGCATAAACAGAAGTTTTAATAAATAAATCCAAGTGTTATAATTTTCAATGGGCTGAATAGTTGAGACCGCTGAATTCAGACGTTCAACTCGAGTTAACGGGAAATCCTAAAATAAACCTTCCAACACAAAGCGAACGGGCTTGAACATTGTAAGCTTCCCACTGAGGGTCCACCTTGGCGCCCTGGAGGGGCGGCAAACATACCCCGGACGGGAAGCGACTAATGGACCCGTCATCAAGCTGCAGGTGGCTTCCCAACATGGTGACTTGAGCGGTTCTTGGTGGTACACTTAAACGTCACACTAACAAAGAAGCTGTTCTCGAAAGTGGGTACTCTGTTTTGGCTTGGCGATGATCAGAGTCATAGCTAGGGTTTTCAGCGCCCAGGGACAACTGAAGATTTCGCGCCCCCTACTGGTTGCCAAGGATGGAAAACATTTACTTATAAAATGTCGTAACATCAGTTTGGCGCCCTTTGGATTCTGCGCCCGGGAACAGATGCCCCCCCCTCTAGCTACGCCCCTGGCGATGATCGTAAAGGTGTCGTCTTGTCGAGACAGGCTGGAGTTAGTATTAACCTGTAACAGGGCTACGAATGCTTTGGGACCGGACAGTTATTCAAACCTATGCATGATAATCTTTTGTGACTTTCCCGATGAACGACAGGAATATGGTTCACTTTTCCTTGGAAAGACCTCAATGAGGGCATCCCTCCTCTAAGGATGCCTAGCCTCGTGTGCTTTGTAATACTCTAATGACCTAACCTAACAACCAAGTACTTTTGATTCCTTTCTGAAAAAGCTATTGCGGATATTAGTGTTTTCCTACTAAATTAAGAAACATTCTTATCTTGGTAAAGCATACGCTGTTACCAATGCACGCTGTTGAGGACATTTCATCCACGTTTCGAGTTAAGACAATGTACTATGCAATAGTTTCAAAAAGTGTGCTACTCAAAATCAGCATGCGCTATTCCTTAATAATATTTTGGCATATTTTCCAATGACAAACGTTTTATTAGTACTGTTGCTTGCGTAAGGGTTCGTAATAGATTGAATGCACACAGAACCGATCATAGCTTGATAACATTTATTTCCCCAAAAGGAACACTTCACAGTTATAGAACTTTCCCCAAAAATACTCGCACAACTCTTCACAGTTTCACAGAGTACAATCAGTAATTACGCTTCAAACTACTAAGAATGTTAAACACAACGCAATACTAAGAGCATCTAAAAGGCGAACGTCTTTCGAACATCTCAATACTCCGACTTCAGCCCTGAACTAACAGCAACAGCTACTACTCAGAAACTTAGCAGCAGAGAGATTTCTAGTACTTCTCGAAATTACTACTCGTCTAGACGAGAGTTATTGATCCACTGGCTCTTGAATGTTAACAGCTCTGACTGGGTGGCGGTCTCTATGAGTTACTTGCTGGGCTGCCACAAATCTCGTGGCGTACACTAAAGTTTTTTTGTATCCTTGACATCCGCCATTCTACAGTCTTTTAAACACTTCTCGCCAAAACGCAGTTCCAACTTGCCGGATACAGCTTCGAAGTCTACTCGCTGGTTTTCGGGCAGAGTTTGAAGGATTTCTGCTGTGTCTGTTCTCAGTGAAGCTTTAGCTTCAAAATCCCATCCATTTACTTTTGCCAGTATAGTGACTTGCATATTGTACACTTGCCAGGGACTTTTTCCATCATGTGTGGATAGCTTCAGAGAAGGTCAAGACGATATATGTTCAGATTTAAAGGTGTTAGAATTGTGACCAGCTGTCGGTATAGACTTCTTTAAACTGTCAACTTCCTTGGCGACAGCAGCAAAAAAGCTGTCTCCGATTTGTTATTCAACAGCAGAAAATCTTTCTGGAAGTTCTACATTTTTATTGTCAACTGTGTCTGTTCTGCCTTCCCTAGCCTCATTTTTTATCCTAGTATGGAAGTAATTTCTCTTTCCATTTCCTTTTGATCTGCTTTTACAGATTCGTGGTAATTTTTCATCTCTTCTCTAACGGATTCTTGTCTCGCTTTTATCTCTTCTTTAAAAGAAGCAAAGGCTGTCACAAGCTGCCTTAGTTGCTCATAAAATGCTCTTTTCACCGGCACTGAATCCTATATATGACATCAAAAATTGTTGCGTGCGTACGGGTTCATTATAGCTTGAATGCACATAGAACCGATAATAGCTTGATAAAATTTATTTTATCAAAAGGAACCCTATACAGTTCTGGAATATCCCGCAAAAATGTTCGTACAACTCTTTACTGTTTCACAGAGAAAATCAGTAATTACACTTCAAACTACTAAGAGCGTTAAACACAGCACAATGGTAAGCGCATCTAAAAGGCGAAACTCTCTCGACATCTCAATACGCCAAAATCAGCCAAACTTTTTGACTATTTGGCGATTTTTTGCCAAATTTGGCGACAAAATTTAGTCACCAAAAACCATCGCCATCTTGGCTATACCTCGCAAAGATGGCACGAGACGCGCGTTCTCGTGTTACATAATACAACGCGCGTCCTCCCGGGTTAATGGGAAGAAAGCGTATCCGTACCTCTCTCCAAAGTCTCCAGCTCATGAAACGGCACTTTTATCAGTTCCGACTCTTGGCCAGCAAACGTCAAGCTACGCCCCTCCTCAAGCTTGTCAATCATTCTACCATGTGTAAAGGCATCCTGGTACTTTCTTGTAGCCATACTGCACGTATAATCCCACTTTCAATTCCTGAAGAATGCCTGGAAATGTGCCTTCCTTTGTGTTTTTAAGTTGCCTTGCACTGTGCCCGTTGACTCTTCGCGTTTTGCGTGTCCGAACGTCATGCTTGTCATTGTTCTGATATTTGCATTATCAACACCTTTCTACGCAGTCTGCTTTTCATTGTACTGATCACGAAAATCCCTTATTAACAACTTCATGGTTGTATCTTGAAAAATGAATTTGTTGCTGAAGTTTTGGACACCAATGTAGGATCTCTTATGTACTGAGCCAGTGTGCTAACCGTTGTAACATAAGCATATATGGAAATGAATGTCTTAGTTCCTTCTGCAGTAACTTCTAATACACAAGATAGTATTTGTCACGTGTTTGAAAACTAGATACCGTTAAAATTTATTCCTTTCACTCTGGCTGTTGTTTTGACATTATGTTTGAATCTGGTTTCTACTTTATTACACCTGTATTAAACTTGAAGTACCGCGTGTGTAAATAATCATCTTTTACTACTACATATAACCTCTGACAGATACCAGTAAATCGATAGTCACCGAGTTTTTGAGAAGAGAGGGAAGTTCGAGGTTCCTTCAGAGAGAAGCACTAAATAAAATGAAATTAGCTTTAACATATCTCTACTTGAGATTTTAAATTAAAAAATATTACAAGCCTACTTGGTTGGACATTAGTTGTAGAATAAAATTTTAATCTTAAAAGAATTCCGAATTAGGTTTAATTTGCCAGGAACCACAATCTTTTCTAGTGGATGATAACACCAATATTAAAAAGTTCAGTTTCAGCATACCATTTCGACAGCTATTGAACACAGGCCAGCGTTTTCACCAAACGTTAGCCAACAGCTATTTCATAACTCCAAGCATGTTTCCGTTGTTTTCCCCTTGCTAGCTTGCTCTTCTAAAGATCCTTTTAAGACTTTTATACACCTACTTTTGCCAGATAAAAATCTACATAACTTTTTGGAAAGAACGAGTTGTGTGACTGAAGTGAGAATGAATGGTAAAGGGGCAAGTTAAAATAAATTATTAAACAAATTAAATTGTCACTACTGACATTCTGTGTTTTTTCAGGTTTATGAACAAGTTTATGGACCTTATAGAGGTAAACCATTTATAACATGTGTTCCACACTTGCTGCAGCCTCGAAGTAGAGGAACAGTAACTCTCCAATCCGACAATCCGTATGATCCTCCAATGATTGACCCGAATTACTTGGAAGATCCAAGAGATGTAAAAGACATAGTAGAAGGTAAGTTTTCTTTCTGTTTACAAATGGGAAAATGAATGATCACATTCCTTCATAATGTCAATTATTTAGTCCAGCTTGCATTTTGAGACATATTAATCGTTACGTAAATCAAATAGCCTGGCATCAGGTTTCACGATGCAAGTTGATGATAAAAGATTTTAATATACAATGTGCAATTTATACACATACTGGTGTCTCCAAAATTAAAACACATTAAAAAAATGGAGAGAAACTCAAATGACCCTTCAGAAGGTTAAGCATTTTAGTGTGCTAAGGAAGTAGATTCGCAGTCTAATAAATGTTTAATTAAAAATGAAAATCATAAGCATATTTGCATATGCAAAGTCACATCTTCAGATATCTCATATTAGAGCTTTGGTAATTGACACTATAAAAGCAATTCATACAGAATACGCTCATCCCTTAAGTTCCTATAAGGGCAGAAAATTCATTCGTGAACACATTACATCGAACAAAATATTTCTAGAAACCTTTCACCTTTGTCTGAGTAATAGCGTGGCCTACGTGATATACAAGGTGCTGGCGGGAAGAAGAGTTTGATTACATCGCATGATGAAAAGGCTAGCTGGGAAGCGTCGCCTTCGACTTTGCACCGTCAATACTCGATTCTATGCGGCAGTTACGCGGTTCATGTTTTATTTTAAAGTTTGTCTTCTTTTTTTTTCTTTAAAAAAAAAAAAGTAGGGAATAACACTTCTAGATATGATAAAATTTCAGCAGTTCTATATTTCTATACTTTTAACAGGATTATTCTCTGGATTTACATACACAGTGTATTTCTGCTATCATTTGCTGAAAAACAATCTAATAGGTATTTAAAGCTATTTTCTTAAATATATATATCTGCCGAATATTTGGTGGATCTTTCCCCTCCCCCTCGATCACAGCTCTGATATTATTTTTAATATTTATTTTGTTGCACCTAAAATAAGAGATACACGTTATTTCAGATACAGGAATATTTAACTACTTAAATATAAGCTGAAAACAACAATTAAATAGTTTTTTTAATGAAATATTTAGTTCATTGGCTTCTTGATTTGATTTTCGGTTATTTGTTAAATTTAAACTGCCGTACGTAAATATTTAAGTGCACCAGATGAGAAATTATGATAAATTTTATATTGAAACGCATTGACAACACTCTGATATAAGCTAAATATACTTTTATTCCAAAATAACATTTCATACATTACTTTACAAGACATAAAGCATTATACTTCAAAAAATACAGAGGAAATATAATTTTGTAACTTTTAAGACCAGTTTATAAATATAAATCATCAAAATAGTACTGTAAATAATTTTAAAAATAAATGAAATATCAGAAATGAAACATATTTGCATAGAAAAATACAAATATTTTACTGTCATTACATACATTAACATTTAATCTGTTTGACTAAATTGTAATAATGCAATCCAAAAGTTGGTAATATTCTGTTTGCGATACTTGCATTTGAAAATGTTATTTTACATGTGTATGCAGTGCCAAATATTGAAATTTGTTCATTTAAAAAAAATCAGGAGAGTAATTTTGAGATAATTATTGATAAAAATAACAAAATTTCACGATGATATTTACATTTACCTTTTAAAATGGTGCAGAACTGCATGTCAATTAATTGCATATGTACAGCAGACATTAAATGAATATATAGGTCTAGAGATTCATTTAGAATTGAAGAAGTTTTGAAATTTTATATCTGTTATATAAATATCAAGATCAGGAAATTGATTTCTAAGATTCAAATACTGCTGTCAAATTTTGTGCGTAATCCCTGACGTCAGGTCCTAGGAACTATAAGTTACCTTAATAAATTTATTCACCTTAAATTATTTTGTAACAGTCTTACACTTTATTTTTATCTTAAACTTTCCCATAAAATACTAATTATACAATTCTTATTTTGAAAATAATCAGTTGCAACTAAACAGTATCATTAAAATTGTGTTAATGTATAGAAGCCAAATTTCCTTTTATTCTGATAGTATATAATACCAGGTAGAAACTGTATTTTAATTTCATGTGAAACTACAATACCCAAAATTTCACTGAAATTTAAGTAGAGATTTTCTGTATTTACTTAGTACTAAACAACAAGCTCTCAATTCGACAGAAATATCTGTAAAATCACTCACTGTCTTTACTTTCACAGCCTAAACACGGTTGCTCTTGACACTGTAAAAACGCAGGTCTTGTACGATCTCAGTAAAGGAATGAGAGTTTTCGTTTTTTAAATGAAGGTAGATAAGTATTTCATCTTATTTCTTAGCAGTTTAGTGAAAAATGTGATTTGGATAAGAATGTCGAGGAACTTGAGTTTTGTATAGCCAATGAGATGGCACAGACAATACATTAACGAGTTCTTTTGCTTTGTTATAAAAAGGTTGTGTTTCCCATCTCCACTAAATTTTAGAATTGAGGAGTTTAATTTGTTTTTAAGTCTAAACGATATACCACTAACTTTGAAATCACTGCCATAATACTGTAGAAGAGCGAGGTATCTGGCTCTTTAAATTAGTGTCACAGATGACCGTATCACATGAATAATTCTTCATATGAGATTCTCGGAGAGGAAGACATAAAATCAGGAAGCATGCACCAAAAATACGGAGAGAGATTAAAAAAAGAGACTAGTTCAAGTCCTGTTCAGTGTCTGTAGACAAGCTAATTAAAATTTCGTCAATTCAGTCGCAGGAATTAGTAAATACAGAACATTGCACATTTCTAGAATATAAAACCATTTTCAAGACAGTCTGCAAAGCATAACTGACTCCAACAATCAAAAAGCAGCAAGAAAATCACATAAAGTAGCTCATACTATAGGCAGAAACTAATTCTACCCGCTATCAAAGATTTAACATTGTTTGGAGAAAAAAATAGCAAAAGATTTAAATTTAATATCATTATCAAATGGTACTGCTAAGATTAGGACTCAAGATTTGTTAAATCATATAAAAGAGCATTTAATTTCACAAATGCCAGTATTATTCATTACAATTAGATAAGAATACTGACATCTCTAATAGTACTAATTCGTTACAATTTTTCGACACGAGTTTGAAAACAAAATTCAAGAAGCTCTGTTGTTTTGCAATTAATTTAATACACGTATTATAGATGAAGCCTTATTTAATAGTTTGAACAATTTTACGACAAAATATGAACTACAGTGATCAAAGTGTATTGCAATTAGAGCTCGTGCAATGTCAAGAAGAATAAATGGACTGGCTGCTTTAATTAAAGCTGTGATAATACCTGCAGTTTTTTAAACCATTGCTGCATACATGAGGAATCTTTAGCATCAAACAATGTGCCAGAAGATTTCAGAAACATTAGACGGAGTTGCTAAGATTGTAAAATTCATTAAGGTATAACCCCTAAGTGCCTGGATTTTTAAAGTTTCATGCAAGGAAATGAGAAATTAACATGCACAGCTTTTACTACATTCAGAGAGGCACGTTAATTGATGCGAGGAAAAGTACTTATTTGCCTGTTTGAGGCCTCACGATAAAATATGACTATTTTTAATGGCTATACAATTTCAACTGAAACGCTGGTTTTGCGATTTTTCGTAATCAGTTCAGATATCTTCCTTGACTGATATTTTTATCTATTTAAATGATTTTTATCCTAAAAATTCTGTTGTCAGAACTGTTTTCATTTGTATATCTCAGCATGCAGTGCCTTTCATGCACGTTTGACGTTTTTGTCACGCAGTCTTCATCGTGTACCCATCTTACTGGCCACCATTGCGCTTGCCAGAATAACTTATCTGATGTAAACAATCTTAATGACCATACCTTTAAATACTTTATCTGTAGCATCTTCTAGGACTTAAACTCTGTATAACTTGAAAAAGCGCCATGGTATATATCACACATCAAGAAAGTAGAGGCCTGATGATAAATAGGCCTTATGAAAGTAGAGGCCTGATCAAAGCAGAGACCTGATGATAAATCCCTCGAAATGTTTGTTTAGCAAAGCATAAGTTATGTTTCCTAATATCTCATCACTGATGAAGGCATTAGACCCCTTCGTAAAAAAAACTTCTCGTTCGTTCCCCCTCCTTCCAATATGCCTTCAAGGTGTAACGGTGAATATTTAGTTCATTATATTCTCGAATGCGCGCACTCGGCGCGCATTCGAGAGGTCCAGGTTCGAGTCAGGTTCGAGTCCCGGAGAGGGCATTGCTCATTTTTCCTGTCTCTTGCTCTAAAATAACCTAAGGACTCTACAAAGTGAAAATGGTTAACTATTTTTTACATAGACCCGTTCTGAGAAAAGCGAAATAATTAACTCTTTTCCACAACCTAAAATTGTAACTAGACTCAGATCAGACAGAAGTTAAATACATGTCCAATTCGGAAATTCATGCCACTCGAGGGCTGGTAGAAAATTATGTATGTCCTTCTGTACAAACAGGACATAATATTATTAATAAGACCAACGGGCCAACATCCAGAGACATGTAAAAACCTATTCAGCTATTTCCAGTACTAGATAAACACTTAATTCATGTACATCCAGACAGAATCGGTCCACTTTCAGCACCAGAAGGTTTCATCTACTTGCAGATACGCATAGATAGATTCAAGTATTTATTGATAAAATTAAAATGAAGAACAGACAAGCTCTGTCTAATAGAATTATCTTATCCAGTTTCTGACACAGTACAAATTTCAGGAGCAGAGAAAATATTTCAGGAACATAAACACAAATTTACAGTTTCCATCAATTCATACAAAGAGTGCCATTTCGTGCAAGCATATTATTTCATGTTTTCTTATTTCAAATTTCTAGCAGATAAAACCAATTTCAGGATAGTTTACATACATTTCACATGAAATATCTTATGGGTACCACTCTTACATGCATACATGAAAAAATGTGTTTGAAAAAATGTGTGAAAAATGTGTGTGAAAAAACGATTCAAATTTGGCTAAGAAATAGTATGAAAATAGCTTTGCATATA